TCTTGTAAAATAAGAAAAAGAAAATTTAAAATATTACAAAAAATATGTTATATTATTTAATTAAATTATCTTCTAATCGGATTTTATTTTGTAATTGGGTAGTTCGAGCTGTTTGAAAGTAAAATCACGAACCAAACCAATTATATTGGTTTTAAAATTTTAGAATTCAAACCAATCCAATTTTATATTGGTTTGGATCGATTTTTGATTGGATTGGATCAGTTTAGGTCGGATCAATCGGATTGAATCAAATATAAACACCCTAGTTATAACGTTTTATTAGTTTTGTTAGCTGATTGTTAATTCTATTAATTGACTGTTAATTTTTTTAGTTTATTGTTAAATTTATTAGCTGACTGTTAACATTCCATTAACGGAACTAATAAATAAAATTCGATTTAAATTTCATATTTTTTATAACGGAATACTAACAGTCAACTAATAAAATTAACAATTAGGTAATAGAACTGACAGTTAGCTAACAGGATATTAACTAACGGTTATTTTTTTTAATTCTTATAAACGAATAATTAAAAGTATTATAATATAAAATAAGAAAATAAAATCTATAAATTTATTAAAATAAAGAATTGAAAATAAGTTTATGCCTTATTTACATGGCCTTGACCATCGCCGCGGGTGTAGGTATTTTTCGTCCTTTTATTATTTTTTTTCACCTAGGATTTCTGCTTTATCTAACTTAATCAAACACAGTACACCATGTTCTAATGACCGAATTGCCATTGTGTAATTGTAAAATTCACCGCAAAAGAGTTGGGCCAAATTGTAAATGTCCATTTCGTAACCCAACTGCTCCTCCATAGCCACTTTTGACAATGGGAAGTCAGAATTCAGACGTGCAACACATGGGTTGTTTATTTGGTTAAATGTCCAAAATTTGATTCCAAACTTTCAATTTTGAACAGATTTTGTCCCTCAACTTCTTTTTGCACTTTTTCGTCCCTCATCTTTTCATTTTAATTCTTCCATCAGTTTAATATGTTAAGTACAACCACGTAGAATTTTTTAAAATTTCTTTTAATGACATGGTAATTACATGTGGCAAAACCTCCCAAATCCACCCCTTACCCTTAAATAAGGGGACAGGACATATTTGTCCCTTAAAAAAACGTAAAAATAAATTACTCTTTTAAATTATAAATTAAGATAAATCACTCATTTTTTAATGTGTGATGTCAGAATTCTATTTACTACGTAAGTATTTTTTAACGAAAAATTGACATCATATGTTAAAAAATGGATGATTTATCTTGATTTATAATTTAAAAAGGTAATTTATCTCTACATTTTTTTTGGGTGGATCTATCTCTACCCCTTTATTTGAGGGGTGGATTTGGGGTTCTGCCATTACATGTGGCATAAGGTACTTGGGCATAAAACTAATCCACAAAGGATTCCTACTCACCCATAATGCCAAAAAACTTCTTTAAAGTTATGGTGGGCTCCACATGAGTAAAAAGGAAAAAAAATCTCAAATGTTTTAAAGCCCTAGAACAAGTCTCTCTCCTCTTCTCCCTTTCTTCCCCTCCTTCCCATTTCTTTTTCCCCCTTTCTTCTTCTTCTAGCCTATGTTTGAATGAAAACTAGTTGAGTGTTGGGTTTGTTTGAACCTAGTAGTTAGGTTTAATTGAACCCAACACTTGCAGGATCATTAGCATAATAAAGTACTTAATCAACAACAAAACAAAGCACTTCATCTAATTCAACAAGAATTTATATATCATAACAATCAAAATTAATGGTAAATCAAGATATAATTCGCTTAAGCATCAATTATCAAATTTAAGCATCAACATCAATAGGAATCAGTGCTTGAATCTCAAGAACAAAAGCATGTCAATCATCTACAAACTGGATTAGAAAGCTCCAATTAGATCTAGATAGTCGGATCGTTCTCCAATTACAAAAATTGATTGCAAAAAACAATAGGGAAAAAAAAAAAAAAAAAAAACAAATTCCGGAAAGAAAAAAAAACCCTCCCAAATTTGGGATTTCTACTCTTTTTATACAAAATTAATCTCAAATGCTTTGGGTTCACATGAACCCAATGCTATACCCTTAACTCCTCTTGTGTTAGAAACCTAATGCTTCTAAACTCATCTCCAAATTGCTACCAAAGCAACCCATATTACCTTCCCTTCATTATGGCTTCTTAGTCATTCTTGTTTTGTGGGATATGAGAAATGCAATACCCAATTTCTGCCATCTAGGTTTTTTTGTTTGTTTCGGTCCCTTTTTGCAAACTAGATCTTACCTTCGATTCTAGTGACACCCCTTGCTCCTAGGTAGGTGTCAAGTGTTGTGTTCCTCACAAAGCCAAATCATTTGGGTTTATGAGGAACCTAGATGATCTACATTCGTGTGAACCCAGTCATGGCTAAAAATTTGGAGGGGGTGAAGAGAAATGGTTCCTACAAGCGTGTTAGAATAAACGGTTCTAAGGGATAAAATCCAAAAATGAAGAGAAAGTATAAATAAAATGTTAATATTGTTGAAATCATAAAACTCTTAAAGAATTCTTAACGAATAACCCTAAGAAAGAAGTTAGATATCTAAAAATAATGAGAATGTTGAAATTATATATAATGGTGAGATCTTTATAAATTATAGTTCTCCTAAAATGAGGATAGAACTGAAATGAAATCATTATTGATGATAAAGTTTTGCATATGCAATAATGATGGATATGTTCAATGAAAATAAGGATCTTGAATCAAATTCATTGAAAATTGTCAACAAAGAAATGATTGATCAATATGAAAAGAGATGACATCTATGTAGAATTAAAATCACAACAATTATATGATATTTTTTTAATCAATATTCTAAATATATAATGAAATAATGTTTATTAAATTTATACAAGTAAAAAACCAACAAATTCTCTTTACGAAATTATTGGCTTTTAGAACCTTGAGCAACTAAGACGCTAGATTGGCATAAATTGCATGATTATGAATATACATTGAATTTTGGGGGAGTATTATACGTATTGTACTTTTTTTTCCCTTTGCCAATGGTTTTTTTTTTTTTTTCCATTGGGTTTTCTTGACAAGGTTTTTAATGAGGCAACGTATAATAAAAGGAGAATATCCAAGGAGGAGTGTTATGAATCAATTCATTGTGAATGTTTCATCTTCTTCATCTTCTCACCTCTCCACTTTTCATGGCATTTACACACCAAGTAATAGTGTAACTTCCCTTACTTTCATGCAATTACAATGGTGATTACCACCCATAATGCCGTACATTTAGATGATGATAATGAGATTTCTTGTAATCCCTGTATTAGTAGAAAATTAATCTTTGTAACCTCCCATTTAGTAGGTATTTATTCCTTATAACTCCTATTACCTATTGGCTCTATAGATAGGGCTTGTACTCTTGCAAATGTATGGAGAACAAGTGGAGAAGAAAGGACTAGAAATATGATATA